GCTCTACACCATAACACCAAACAATATAGGAAGATACGATTCAGTAGCTTTACAGATTTGGCAAAAAGCGGCCTATAGGTATTGCACAGGCAGGCTTTGCCTGGTAGTAAAAGCGGGGTATATGGCTAGTCATCAACTTCAACAACCCTGAGTATATCACATGACGACAAAAATTCGAGACAGCAGCAGGGCTCTTTTCATGATTAGGCAGAAACAATAAATACTCGTTCACCAAACCAAATACAGCCTACAACAGAAGCTAATGACCACATTTCACCCCTTCTCCCGGCTTCCCGTTGAAATCCGCTTTCAGATCTGGGAATTGGCTGAAATAAAAGATCGAGTACTGAAAGTCAGAAAGGTCAAACGTCGCTTGCTTTTAGAGCCTTATTTCCCAGCTTACTGGTCCCCCACGTGCGTACTAAGTGTGACCCGGGCATGCCAGGAATCCCGCAAATACAGTAGCTACCAGAAAGCGTTCATAGTTGAAGGGTTACCTCGATATATCTGGGCAAATTTCGAAAGGGGCATATTACAGATGCTGAGTAGCTATATGAATGATTTGGTCTCGAGAACCAGCTTGGAAGGAGAAGGAGCCAGGCATCTAAGAATAGAATTGCTGCGCCCAGATGGTCGGGATGACTCCGAAGATTTTTATCATGAGCATTGCAATAGGATTTGCGAATTTCCTGGTATGCCATTTACACACCTGATACTACCAAAGGGTATTACTGACTCTTTGTGGTAAGCTGAATCGCTCTTCACTTTTCCCGTCGCCAACTGCTTTAGATAGCTTCCTTGTGCAGATATCCAATCCGTCTTCTAGTCCATGCGTTCAACTATTTCCCAGCCAGCATCATTTTGGCAAGAAATGCTAACATTATCTTTTCCCCAGAAACTAGAGAGCGTAGATGCTTCAGTGGATGGTTTCAAGCATATCTAGACTACGCTCATCGATGGGATATACTTCGGCTCATGTCCAAAGAGCAATATCCGCATCATCAATGCCAAGACGGGAGAGTGGATCGATGAAGAGACAAGTGGGCCGTACCAACTGCATTGATACTGGAGGAGGTGAAATCAGGGACTATGATAGAATGGTTTATTACGATGTGGACTCAGACGATCCAGAGGATGATGAGAGATATGGAGCAATGATGAGGATTCAAAAGGGTTTGCCGCGGATCAATTTGGATGACTAAGTCGAATAATCAGCGAACGAGTTTCAATTCTCGAAGAAAAGATAATTTTACTGCATTTGAGTACCTCGCAATTTTCCTCATCAGTTCCCTACAACTATGATCCTTAGTGAGCCTGCCCGTGCATTCGAGTTACTTGTGCTGGGGTCAAAACGAGTGCGACGAAATTTCTTAGCAACAACGGGCTCGCATGCATTACTATGGTGGCTTGATAGTTGGTGAAGGATACCTTTCTTTCCGTGAAAACGCTCCTATCTTGTGTGAATTGTAATGTCCAATAAAGGGGCTTACAAGAATCTTTTGGTCTGGCGGTGCCCATGGTTGTTCAGTCAAATGTCTAGATACAAACTCAGAGAAGCGATCGTTACGGTGAGCTAAAAAAATAAGCCTTTGTATCATAATTTTGGCAAAAATTTGTTAATTGTTTGAAGAGGGCTTTACAGAGCTTCTGTTAGTTGTTGTTCGCCGCTCGTCTTGCCTTTGCATGGGCTGGCCGTTGAGCTGACATGCTGTTCATCTTAGAACTAGAGTTCACGTTTGGGATCATACCTGGGAGTGGTATGTGCCTACTTTTTGTAGTTACCGAGTGTGTAAATTAAGCTATGAAAGCATGGATCCTACATATAGGCCTTTACCTTAGTTCCCGTTTTAGGCCTTAATGATGCTCAGTGTAACCTACTGTTGCTTATGGGCCTAGGTTCCTTCTCAACTCACGGTTACAGCCTTAATTTAACATTGGCTCTCTGGAATTGACTATCGTTGCTGTGAGAGCTCAAGACGCTTTTCCTACTGGGACCTGTTTTTGAATGTCGAACGGAGTCAATGCAGGAACCACAGGATATTAAACTATACATATTAGATTCAAGCCATAGGCTCCGCCACCGAAAAACGGGTAGAGTTTGTATCCTAATCTCGGGTTCGGTGGCGCTTAAGCAATAAACAAAGAGATATTTCATATCATGAATTTAAATAAGCTTATATCACCGTTACGCTTCACTCCGCTGTCAAACTGACCAACATAGGAATAAAAAGTTCATCTGTGCACTACGCCTTCATGTAGATAAATCATAGCCTTCAGTATAGGACCAACGACAGTATCTTGACGATGAGTGGTTATAGGCGCCCATGTGAGCTAGTCAATCACCGCATTCTTCAACCTCAAATTTCGTTATGTGAAGTGTCGAATTGCCGTGCTGCATTATCAATAATATACTTGTCAGATTTGTGCAACGTTGAAATCAGCACATAAGGCTTGTGGGGAATAAGCTTACCACCAGTTTGAGGCGGACCACGGTAAAATACCGATCAACAAACTTGGTGCGCACCGTGCCTGACTTCTTGCGAGGCACAGGGGCGTTGATAACGGTCGATTGCGCAACTGTACTGAGTTGCAAATCTGACCATGTTTATGCATCCATCTTATGTTTATGCACATTGAAGCGAGCACCGCGTTGGAAAAAATACCTTGAAGTCTGCCGTGAAAATTGAGAGCTGGCAATCATGCAAGCATGCAGTAAGATCCTGTTGGGTGCTTTGGGCTATGAACCTGGTAGTTATTCACACCCTATAGGTGTAACAATGAGATTCCAATCTCTGATATCGTGTATCCCTAGCGAATCTAACATGGCTTCCGCTACTTGAGTTTTTTGCTTACCCTTATAATTCCCTCTTTTCTTCTATCTTCCCCATTCCAAGGTTGTCTTGACTACTAGTTCACTTCGACATCACTATGCAGGAAGTTCACACAGAGACCCCCAGCGGCTGTTCTATACCCTCGGAGGATAGCTCTGATAAGAATTCTAGCTATCTTCATGGCTCGAGGCGCCATATAGTAACTCTAAGGTCTGTCTGCGTATAGATAACTACTGCAGATTCACCAGCCCATATAATCCAGTGCTATCTCATCATATATATAGTAACTCTGATCATATGGGCAAAACTTAGCGATATATATGGGCGTAAGTCTGCTTTGATGGCATGCCTCTCGATCTTCACTGTGTTTTCTGGAAGCTGTGGGGCAGCACAAACCATGAATCAGCTGTGAGTGGCAGTCTTGAGGCTCAAGCTTGTCTTTTCTCATGTTTTGTCCAGCATTATTTGCCGTGTATTTCAAGGAATTGGAGCTACCAGAATGTGGTCTGTCACATTAATCATGCTGTATGAACTTGTACCCGAGATCAGTGGCCCGTACAAGGGCAATTTTTGCATGCGCATCATCACTCAGATCTTTAGCAGGCCCTATCATCGGAGGAGGGGCCAGCCAGCATGGTAATTGGGGGTGGGTATTCTTATTCAAGTGAGTCCATCCTCATTCCTGCCCTGATAGACTGTTTCTAACTCCTTTGACTAGTGCTCCTGTTGGTGCTGTAACACTGGCCCTTATTTTAATATTTGTTCCATTAGGCTTCCCAAACCAAGGAAATTTGACCTACAAGGCGCCACTTTACGTGAGAAATGCTCACGTCATAGGCTCGCTCGCTTGCTTAGATGGACCTGGGTGCTTTCTCATACTGTCTGCGACCATGCTGATTGTAGCCGTTTTACTAGAAGGTGGTACTACATTTGAATGGAACTCAGCTGTATCCATTGTCTTATTTGTTGTTTCCGGAATTTTGTGGATACTGTTCATGGTAAACGAATGGTACCTCACCAAACGCGATGGCACACTCGAACCTATATTTCCATGGAGGTTTCTGATCAACAGGGTCGATATGGGAGTTCTCATTTCATCATTCCTTTCCGGTTTGCCATATAACATTTTAATCATCACTATTCCTCAGCGATTTCAAGAATTAGGCGGCGCCTCGCCTATAGCCTCTGGAATTCGTCTCATCCCTTTCAACGCCCTGATACCGGCATTTGGCGTGATCACAAACGTGATAATTAAGAAGACTGGAGTTTCCTTTATCTGGATGTTATTATTTGGATCTATCATGCGAATGGCAGGCCTAATATAGTTTGCTGTCTTGCCTGAGGATGGAACACTGCCATCGACCATTTATGGTTGTCAAGTACTGGCAGGCCTTGGAGCGGGTGTCATACTATCAATCACGCTTTTATTGACAGGGATTGTTGTTGAGCCCAGGGATATTGGTATGTGTTGAGATTTTACCACCACATCGTATTCAAAATCGGTACTGACTCAAATTTGTATAGCGGTCTCAAGTGGAGCGCTTATCCAATTTCGCGCTCTAGGCGGTGTTTTGGGAATTTCTATCACCACAGCAGCCTTCAATAGCTATCTAAGAGCAAATCTTCAACATCTACTCCGCAGTGTTTCAGCCTCAGACCTGCTTGCCAAAGTTCAAGAAATACACCATCTTTCGTTGAGTCAACAACTTGAGGTACGTAAAGTACTCTCGGAAGCATATGGTCTGCAATCAAAAATCTTATTTGGATTTGGTGCGTTACAGATCTTAGTAGTAGCTATGATATACCGCCGTGGTGATCAGGTGAAACTGATCGATGAGCCAGCAGAGGAAAAGTCTAAGGCACAGAGAGATGTTTTAGCAACAAGAGGCTGAACTTATTTCCTCCATATAGTCACATCTATTCTCTACAACAACTTCAAAATAATCGTAGGCTTCCCAAAAAGGAGCACACTTGGATCAGGTGATATCTTTCGCCCTTGCAAAAGTCGCGTTAGCGGCTCTCTTGGCTCCACTTCTTCGCACATATCTTGGCATTTAGAATAGAGATTATATTCTTTCAGGCTTTCTCTCATGGTTTTCAAAGTCCCTGGAAGTCTTGATTGATAGAATGGAACACATCTAGTTTTCATTTTTTTTGTCAAAAGCCATTGGCCGCATTCCGCAACGGTAGCGCGTCAGATTCCAGAAATTGGAACTTCCTGAAGGCTCTCTGTTCGAATCAGGGTGTGGTCACGTTTTTTGTTTGCCGACACCAGTTCTCGTATATCTGTATGTGATAAGTGTTAGAAGACAGGCTTCTATGAGTCTATTTCTGTAATAGTAGTTATATCATTGAAATCAATAGGTCCTTTGGCTCCATACGAAAGGAGGAAAGGAGAGAGTAACGAGCACTGGATTTGACTATTTTGCTACACTAAAGGCACTTCAAAAAGTCCAGCAACCAAATTCACTGGAAGAGCAGCTAGTCTTATATCTTATACCTAACATTTCCCATTTAATCACCAGCCCATATTAGCTTTGATAGCGTCTGTCAAAGCCTTCGCCCCGACAGCATTTGTTCCTGGTGTAGGGTGATAATCGCACCCAAGATCTGAACCCTGGGTTGGCCAATCTACAAAATACGCCTTTGTGCCATTAAGTTGTAGTACTGCCTCTTTGAGTGCATTAACTTGCGTCGTCTTGACCGCTTCTCCTGCAGGATACGAATCACCCAGCATTGGCGAACTCAGGAGGAAAACGGTAGCATTGGTATGGTAACTCGACTGGACGAATTTCACAAACTTGACGACCGCAGCCCCGTAGTCTGCACCGCTAAGTAAGGGACGCACATTGTTGTGGCCAAAGTCATTGGTGCCGAGATTAACAACGACGACGTCTGGGACGTCTTTTTTGGGGAATGTGTAGCTTCCGGTGGCGTCGTTGGCACCGTATTTGGTGTATCGCTCTGGCATTATAGGGCTACTTCCAGGCGTCTCGCCAGCATAATTTCGGATGACACCAATACCGCTCCATGAGATGACGCTGAGGTCTGCCTTGAGAGCATCTGCTGTGAGTACGCTGTAGGTCTCAGAAATGATTTCCAGAGCTGCAGTATTGGTACAGGGCAGAGCAGCGCCAATTCCATAACCGGAGGTGATAGAGTCGCCAATGACTTCAATTCTGCGCTTTGGTGCAGGAGCGTCTGGTTTTAAAGAGCCATTGGTGGTGACGTTGCCGATGAAAATGGAGCCAAAGAGAGCCTCAGAGCTTTTACGGAACGTGACGGTATGTTTTCCGTTTGCCAGTTTGGCGGGAGTAGTAATGGCCGTTCCATTGACGTTTGGAATGAACGTTGATTTGCCGTCAACGATCAGTTCGGCACTGTTGGCGCCGCTTGTCCTGATAGCAATCGAAGCTGAGGAGCCCGAAAAGGTAAATGACACACCAGTGCCTGACCAGGTCAATTCTTTGGTAGCTGGATTGACGCGACCGATATAGCGAAGTGCCTGAGCAGGCCCGACGACGGCCAGCACAGAAAGAAGTGTGTTGAGGCTAAGCATTTTGAAGACGGTGCGTTGAAAATACAACGAAAGCGATGCCTGAGACATCTTCTTAACTCTTGTAAGTCGCCACTATATCATTAGCGTCAATAAAGCGGGTCTTTGGGAATACACTAAATTGCGCGGTGTAAATGAATCTAGTCCTAGTACCGGGTTACATCCCCTCCATTTTTCCGTTTTAGACACGGAGTTTAGCCATCCTCAATACACTCCCAGGAAATTTTGAGTACTAAGAACGCAACGAAGTCAACCAATCGGAAAAACTGTGAAAGATTTATAGAATGGTTGGAAGTAAGAACAACCAGGTATATGGGATTACGGATGTATGATCCATGTACGACTCCCGCTTTACCATATTCACTACTAGGTTTGAGCACCCTGTAGCTAGGGAAAATATCCTCGGTAATTTTAGATAGGAACTAGTACTATCAATTAAGACTGTCAGTCGATGTGATATATGCATCTGCTTGTGGCAGGGATTTTGCACTTCTGCGTGCTGAGAAATTGGAACCGGAATTTCCGCTCAAGTGTCATTTGAGCTACGCATCAAGTCTTAGGGACCCCAGAACAAGTTTCTTGAAGAGATTCATCATTTCTGTAATGAAGATACTGCTTATGAAGATTTGATGAATTGGAATGTCAAGGCTTGAATTGTCCATCAGTTGATTCGCGCTAGTAGCGAAAACAGCTAGCGTTTTCTTCGCTAGCTTCATCGATCTATCAACTTTCCGCAATGACTTCACCTCCTAATCCACTGTAACATACCGCCTTTCTTAAGTTCTGGTAACAATACACTATGGCAGATGATGCCGATGTGCCAATTTTGCCCGATTTCTACAAACCACCTGCTTTACTTCCCATTGCTCAGTTAAAAGACCAATTACTCTACACCATTGAGACGTTTCCGGTGACAATAGTTGTCGGCGAAACTGGTAGCGGTAAAACGACACAGATTCCAAGATTCTGTCTCGATGCAGGATGGTGTGCAGATGGGAAGCAAATTGCTGTTACCCAGCCGAGACGCATCGCTGCGAAAAGCGTGGCAATACGGGTTGCTGAAGAGCTGGGAACGCCATTAGGCCAGCGAGTTGGGTTTAGCATCCGGTTTCAAGATGTGACGAGTTCAAACACACAAGTCAAATTCCTCACGGATGGGCTGCTCTTGCGTGAAATGCTGGTTGATCCGTTGTTGAATCGGTACTCAATCATCATGGTGGATGAGGCACATGAGCGGAGCATATCATCTGACATTTTGCTATCGTTGCTCAAAAAGGTACTACGCAAGAGAGAAGATCTCAGAGTCGTAGTGAGTTCTGCAACATTAGATGCGGAGCGATTTCTCGACTTCTTCGCGCCAGACGAGGGCGAGAAAGTACATGGCAAGAGCAAGGAAGAGTTTGGAAAGATCGTTGCAATTGAGGGACGAGCTTTTCCTGTTGAAATACAGTATCTCATGGAACCAACGAATAACTACATCGAAACAGTTGTGGATACAGTAATGAATATCCACACAAATGAGTCCGATGGCGACATTCTAGTCTTTCTCACAGGCCGCGAGGAGATTGACGATGTAATCGACATGTTAGGCGATCGAATAGCGGATATGTCCTCGACCCAACAAAAGCTCCTCACATTACCGCTGTATGCCGATTTAGAAAGCGAACACCAAATGTTCGTTTTCCAAAAAGCGCCCCTCAACACCCGAAAAGTAATCCTGAGCACCAACATCGCCGAAGCCAGCGTAACCATCGACCACATCGTCTACGTAATCGACAGCGGCTACGTCAAACTGCGAACCTACAACGCCCAATCCGGCATCGAAACCCTCAACATCGTCCCCGTCTCCAAAGCCAGCGCAACCCAACGCGCCGGCCGCGCCGGCCGCACCCGACCAGGAAAATGCTTCAGACTATATACCGAGTCCTTATTCCAAACTCTGTCTCCCGCCACATTCCCTGAAATCCAACGCTCCAACCTCGCCCCTGTCCTCCTCCAACTGCTCAACCTAGGCATCACAAACGTAGTCCGCTTCGACTACCTCAGTCCCCCGCCCTCCTCGCTCGTCACGCGCGCCCTAGACATCCTCTTCTCGCTCGGCGCCGTAGATGCCAACGCCCGCCTAACCAAACCGTTCGGGACACGCATGGCAGAAATGCCGCTCGACCCCATGCTCGCGCGCGCGCTGCTCCAAGCCGCTCATCCCGAGTTCGGATGTCTGGCCGAAATGCTGACCATAGCGGCTATGATGACATTATCAGATGCTGTGTTTGTGTCGCTTCACGGCGAGAAGAAGCAGCTTGAAGCGGCGCGGCGACGATTTGCTGTTAGTGAGGGTGATCATCTCACGTTGTATAATGTGTATACGTCGTTTGTGGCGGCGGACATGAACGTTCGATGGTGTCGGGAGAACAGTTTGAATCACAAGGTGCTTATTAAGGCTATTAGTGTGCGCAAACAACTTGCTGCGTATATGGAGCGGTTTGGGGTTAGGGAGTCTGTGCTGGCGACGCCGGATGTGTTGCGTGTGGGGGGCAGACCGTTGGCGGAGAGGGTGAGGAGGTGTCTTGTAACGGGTTTTTTTGCACATGCTGCGCGGATGAAGGCGGATGGGAGTTTTACGACGGTGGATGGGAAGACGGTGTTGTGGGCGCATCCGAGTAGCGTGTTTTTTCATCGGAAGGGGGAGTGGGTGGTGTACACGGAGATTATGGAGACGAAAGGGAAGATATATATTAGGGATTTGAGCGAGGTGGATATGAATTGGTTGATGGAGTATGCACCTGAGTATTACAAGGTAAAGGATGAGAGACGGTGAGCAAGAGACGGGAACAAGAATTTCGACTATTTACAGGCCTCGACAAACAACTCGCGCATGCCTTTTAAGAAGCTCGCCAGGTCTCGCGACTCGTTCAAACGTTCTACCACCCTCTCAACCTCCTCTCTCTCCACCTTGGGCCGAACCTCGAGCACCTTGTAGTCTCGTTCGCTAGTATCCAGCTCAAACCAGGCCTCGCGCTCCCACTCGCGCTCATCCACGTTTGTGTAGACAAACTTCAGTCTATCGTCCTTGCCCAGGCCCTCAATGCGCAGGCCAAGGTAGTTCTCCCAGAAGTCAAGCTCGGGCTCATTGTAGCGTGACTGGCCATCGAGGTAGCGACGATGCTTGAGCTGGGCCTCGCGACGGGCGGATATGGACTTCTGAACTTGGGCGATCTGGGAGCGCAAAGTATCGCGGTGGGCGAGTCGCTCATCGCGCTGGAGGGTGAGGGTGCTAATGGCTTCCTGCATTTCGCGTGTTTCCTGAGACTCCTTGGCAAGGCTCTGGCTGTGCTGAGACTGCTTAAGCTCGAGTATCTCAATGTTCCGCTTCTTCATGCGCTGGTCCTCTGCAGATTATGTCAGTGTTATGTATAGACTGGGTCAAGATCAGACAGCATCGTACCATGCATCTCGGCAACATTGATGCGAAACTGGTTACGCTCTTCTAGTACTCGTCGTCTTCCATTCTCAATGAAGGCATCGAAGCGGGCAGTGAAGTGGTTCATGCGACTGCGTAGATCGTCGAAGCCAAAGTTGATGGTGGGTAGCTCTACCGAGGCCGGCGCATCATGCAAAGAAGCGCGCATTGTTGTGCTGAGTGAAGGTTCGAAGGTGGTCATGATGGATATAATACCGATTGATATGTTGTCATGT